GCACAAAATCGCATTTTTGCGTTGTTTTTTGATTATAAAAAAAGTTTTATCAGACGACTTAAAAATTCACCCATAGAAAATGTAGAGAAAATAATTGCGGTTTTTTTGAGCTATAGAACTCCTATTTTTTCTTCCGGAAAAGGAGCATACATGAATCTATAACCACTAATTAATTTTTTAAGAATCATTTGAATCATCTTGGAACTCCACAAAATCAGATAAACATTCTGAAATTATGGTTGTAGAGCTGCAATTGTGATCGCGCCAAACTTTTTTTCTGTAGATCAAAAATTAATTTGCAGTTCGGAAATGTTCTGTGGGAGAGCGTGACCAATGAAATGTTTGTGATATCATGATAAATAATTTGTCACTTAACAAATGTTTGGTATCTCTCACAGGAACCCAGATAAATTGGCTCAAAGTTGATTGTTATGGGGCCCTTCTATTACAGGTCTTACAGTAGATTCTAGATATACTTTGAGGAAGAATGTTGTACATCCAATCCCAATTAAATGGTATTTCAGCAGAAAAATCTTCTGAGCTTCTACTTCGGAGAAATGGGCAGAACAATCTTGAGAAAGCTAGGAGCCGAACTCTCAAAATGACATTTGTGATCGTATTGGCATTCATATCCTGCTGGACCCCATATTCCATTCTAATGTTTCTTCATTTCCTTCGACGCACTGATTGGATTCCGAAAGACATTCGGAAATTCATCTACGCATTTGCCGTTCTCAACTCGGCAATTTCTCCATATCTCTATGGTTATTTCTCCTTCGATATCCGAAAAGAACTACAACTCTTATTCGCTTGTTCTCGTGCCACTGCTGCCGATCGTCATCTCTCCTGTTCAGCTAACATCAGCAGGTAACAATGCCTGAAACTCGTCTTTCCTATCCAAATACTATCATTTCCTTTTCTTCAGAAATGTGCATTCTTCTTCAGAAATCAAGTCAGTGAGAGAATGCGCAAACGGAGCGCATCGGCCTGTAATTTTGACGGAAAAACAACTGACAACACATTATCGCCACGGCCAGCCCGTGGACACAGTTTGAGGCATAAAGGAGATCGCCGCCATCAATTGGATAATCGTCTTATGATCTGAATTCCGAAAAAAGATCTTTATGAAAAACCTATAGGACCCTAAAACTCCTTCTCCCGAGGGGATCCTTACTCTATGTTCTTATTTATTTCAATGAAATATTATTTAAATATCGAGTTGTTGAATGTGTTGAAACTTGGCACATATTGGTGTCCAATCGTCTGGAGTAATTCATCTGACAGCTGTCATTCTTCTTCTACCACGTATACTCTGCCCTTCGCCCTTTCTCTCCCTCTTTTCCTCTTGCACTTCTCCCTCATATTTCCCAATCCCTAGTATCACAGATCACGACATTTTTGTGTCATTCAGATAACACCTATCATTTTTTTTTGCAAAGTACGACGTAGTTTTCATTCCGGAAAGTAAAAATGATAGAAATGCAATCATTAGGAGTTCCTTTTTGTTATCAATCACTTGCTCACATGGATCCGTTAAAAAACCTCATGTTCTGAGCAGAAGGAATTCGTGCATCCGGAGTTTTCCGCCGTTTCCGCGACAGACGTCTTTTCGATCATTCTCTCTGATGGTCTGATATCAGGCATCATTTTTCCGACATTTTGTTTCACTTATCATCGCATCAAGTGCAGCAAGAAGAAGGAGAAGAGATGGCAACAGTCAAATTGTTGTTTTTAAAAACACGGCCTCGCGGAAGGGAACCTAGATTTAAAAATTGGAAAGCGCGCCAAGTTTGGACGCGTAGCGCGGTCGCGTCGCGGCTTTTCGGTGAGTAGCGACTCAACAACGTTTAACTTCACGTTTTTTTCAAAACACGTTTCAAAATTTTCGAATCTGGCACGCAGCCAACTTTTGTGTGCGACGAAGCGCGCGTTTTTCAGGTTCCCAACCGCGATGCCGTGTTTTTTTTGGTTTCCAAACATTTCGTATCATGTGAATCATGTGTGTCAGGACGCCCTTTCTCTGTTCTTCTATAACCTGATTGCAACAAGAGATTTGATTTAATTGATTTTTGAGATATTGCAATATTCCACGGAATTCGTCATTTTCAAAATAAGATTGAATCTGATAGATCAGTGTTGTTTGAAAGTTGAATTGAATTTTTTTGTTTAGAATGCAATAAATGGCTATCAGTTTTCTTTCTTTCTGAAATTTTTCTATTCCAGGGCTTGTCGGAACGGAATTCGGAAGATTTCATGTTTTTCTTTCGGAATTCGAAATTTTAGACTACAGTATGCCAAAGGCGCAAGCGAAAAGTTCCTATGTGGGCATCGAGCGGAATTACTTTTGATTTTTTTTTGTGTTTTCGAAATCTTTTTGTAGCTTTTTCAACAATTTTTCGCGTTTTTGTGGTGAAAGTAGAATTTATAATCGAAATTCTTTAAAAATCGGAATAGTCCAAAATTCTGAAATTCCCAAAATTTTTGAAATCGGAATACTCTCAATTTCCGAAATTTCGAAACTCGGAATTTTTGAAATCCCGAAAAAATTCTAAAAACGCCATTCCGAACATCCCTGGTTTTTCTATTCTTCCTCAAAAAAAATTCAGAAATTTTTTTCAACCTTAGCGGAGCGCACTTTCACTACCAGTTGTTTTTCTAGTGTAGTCCTCGTGGACAACTCCGATTCTATGTCTTATTGGTTTTACCTCGTTTCCGCCTCTTATAATCTCTTCTCGTGTCTTTTTCGTATTTTATCAGTCTCTAAATGTTACCTATTTCAGTACAAGACGTCGGTATGGGGTACGTAAAACAGGAAAAACACCCACTCGAATACGAATATTTACAACCGGAGCATTTGAAAGGATTCGATTCTTACAAGGTTTGCATTTTATAATGTTCACTTAATAGCCATAAAAGTGCATATTTTCAGTATAACTGTGTCGACAACTCTCCATTATCAGTCTACGTCTCACACCCGTTTTGGAATTGGTTAGTAGAGGTGAGATAATTTTTAAGATAATAAAATCAAAGAACTCTAATATATTTTCAGTTCTATCCACGAACATGGGTCCCGAACGTACTAACACTCGTTGGATGGGGATTCGTTATGGCTGGATTTTTCATCGAAGGCTATCTTGATTATCGAATTGACAGAAACTCCGACGGATCTTTGAATCCAATTCCAGATTGGTTCTGGTTCGCAGCTGCTCTTTGCACATTCCTTGGTCATACATTGGATGGAACAGATGGAAAACAATCTAGAAGAATTGGTGCAAGTGGTCCGACTGGAGAGCTTTGTAAGTTTTCAAACTCTTCAATATTTTGAAATAAAATTTGTTTTAGTCGATCATGGCCTCGATTCTTGGTCAACTGTTCCATTCACCATTACAATTTTCTCAATTTTCGGACGTGGAAGGTTCAGTATATCGTCTGTTGAACTGTTATGTGTGCTGATCAGTACACAAATCGTGTTCTTCACCACACATTGGGAGAAGTACAATACTGGAATCATGTTCTTGTCCTGGGCCTACGATGTCAGCCAATTTGTAAGAGTGTTGAAAATCTCTATAATTTGAATGCTCTGTTTTTTTCAGGGTCTCGTTATTGTGTACCTCTGGACCTACGTCGTCGGTTACAAATGGTTCCATTTTGATTTGTTTGGTGTTAATTTCGCGCTCACATTTGAAATTGGATTTTACTGTTAGTTTTATCATTCAAATATTTCTGAAAAAATGTGTTCTTTTTTTAGTGTGCTGTCTGATGTCCTTGATTGCTTCTGCCTACAATGTCAACAAAGCTGAAAAACTGAAACAACCAACACTACTTGCCGGAGTCCGTCCAGCATGGCCAGTATTGGTTCTCTTCGCATCTTCAATCTTTTGGGCCGTCAAGTCGCCAACAAATGTTATTGATGCTGATCCCCGATTTTTCTTCTTCTGCATGGGAACAGTTTTCAGTAATATTACGGTATGTATTCTTGATGAATTGATGGAGAACTGATATTTATGATTTCCAGTGCCGACTGATCATTGCTCAAATGGCGAGCACAGTATGCGATATATACAATTTGACACTTGGAATCTATCTCGCAACAATTGGCAAGTGTCAATAAAATTTGCTAATTTTACTCTTTATTCGTTTCAGCTCTTGCCTTCTACAGTCCAGCACACGAGCTACTAATCCTTCGACTTTCTACTCTCGTCATAACTGCCCTCCATCTCCATTATGGAATCTGTGTGGTCAGTTTTCCGGCGCGAGGATATCGCATGTTTCTTCTCAACTAACTTTTATCCTCCTATGAATATTCGAGTGTTTCACAAGCAGCTAAATATTTCATTCATTCCAGGTTCGCCAACTCTGCCGGCACTTCAAAATTTACGCCTTCGACGTCTCGTATCTTCAAAATCGAAGCAAATAATAACACAAATAACAGTAGAATAACACTCGAAGTGTATACTAATTGTACTTTTTTCAAACTATGATTCTTATTTTATTTTTTTTTTTCCTTTTCATGACTTCATGTACTTTTTTGCTACGGCAATTAAAGCTGCTCCTCGTTTACAGGTCCTTCTTTTCTTTTTGAAAGAGAAATAAAAAAAGAATTCAAATGAGTTCCGTTATATGAAGTCATGACGACTGGATCCCGGTGCCACTGGAAACCGTTCGGAGATTCGCCTGCCAACATCACTCGCTTCCTAGAGTGCATTTCGGAAGGCGGAAATGGGCCGTCTAATTGTTTTGGCATGCAAGTGGCATTTTCGCGGTGCCTATTTTTACTTTTTACTACTACTACTACGCCTATTTTGGGGTGGTGCTCTGGTGTGAGCATATGTTTACTCTCACCTTATAAGGCGCACTTTTCATTGAATTTTTCTATGGGAAACTATTGAAAAGAGAAGAAATACACATCTTCGCGAAGAACTTCTTTCAATTTTCTTTGGGGACCAGAAGACACCTTCCGAAAATAACATTTTGTTGCAAATGTTTCAAGTTGTTTATTTTTAGACGAATTTGAGTGAGAATTCAATTTTCCGCAGAGAAGACCTCTAAAGAAATGGCTGTTCATCAGAATTCTTTTCATTTAGAAAATTCGAATCGTGTCATTTCTGGATGATTTGTCTTTCCAAAAACTTGAATTTTCATTTTCGAGGTACCAGCCTTGGGTTTCCTGGTTACAAAATCATCGTAAGTAGTTAATAACATGTATTATCTATTGGCTATAAATAGGAAAATTGGTAGCTGTAATTGCCACGTTGCGTTGTTTTCTCAAGCATGAAACTTGAATTTAATAGTCGTCTATTCGGTGTCCACCAGATTGACACTTTGCCCAATTTTCAAAATATAAGTTTTTTCAAAACTTTTGAGACTCCGATATTCTCATAATCTTTTAACTTCGAAATAGTGGACTTTACATTTTGATATCTTGAGACTCTGAAATCATGAAATCTTGAAACTTTGAAAGTTCAGATTATCAAGATTTCGAGGTGTTTCAATTTACATTTTTCTATTGTCTAGAAAGTACTGTTTTTTTTTCAAATTTCACATTTTCTGAGAGCTACTGTGAATGGTGCCCTGAATATGCACTGAAATATTACATCGAATATTACTCTAGCTGACTGGAACATACTTTTACAGTATCCAAAGAGTTCATTTGACCTCTACATCCCTTCGAATTCTCAGAATAGGATTATTCAAGTACCCTTCAAAAAAGTATGTATTTTTTTATCCGACGAATTATGTTTCTCACCAAATTCTTCCTCATGTCTTTCCGCTCATTCCAAATTGGATGCACATAAAAAAATCAAAAGTGTTGACTCGCTTCCGTGTCTGCGTCTCTTCATCTCGCATACTATTTCGAGGTTCCATGTTCCCATCATAAATCGGATGTAAATGGCCCAGTTGGCAGGGGAGATGCTTTTTCGACTGGCTTCTCGAAAATGTTCTCACTAGTTTTTTGTGAGTTCTTCTTATTTTCTTTTTTAACCTCCCCAGGGACATTTTTTGTCAGTTTCCCTGCAAAATGCAACCGTTTTTTTCATGAAGATCATCATCTTAGAAGAGGGTAGGTCCTTATGACGAAGAAGAAGAAGAATCAAATCTTGTTAGATTCCTCTCTTTTTTCAGAGGCGTTGTTTTGTTTTGACACCGGGTGCCCCCATGTCTCTTTCAAATGCTAATCGTATTCTTGATGCTTTAGTCCTATTTTCTATTTTATTGTAACATCATCACCGCCGTTTAGTCTGATAGCAGTATTTCAGCTACCTTGCATATGTTTTATTCAGTTCTCCTGAGCAAGGATTCTGGAACTAACGTTTGCTCTTCATCCATCGACTTGAGAAAGTAGATCTACAGTATCCTTTTAAGATCTCTTATTCCATACCCAAATATCAGCTCTCCTAACATCCACCCCCCGACGTTCCATTAGGAGACCAAGTCCAGGGATGTTCGGAATGACGTTTTCGGAATTTTCCGGAATTTCGAAAATTCCGAGTTTCCCAATTTCGGAATTTCGAAATATTCCTATTTTCAAAGCTTCAAAAATTTTCATGATTTTTCAACATTCAAATTCTATAAGGCAAAAAATTAAAGTAATAATGTTCGTTCCAAGTTCCGCAAGGCTACTTTTTGCATGCACCTTTGAAACATCGTTGTCCAAAAAGCTCTAATTCCGGGAAAAACCGGATATATTCCAGTCGAAATTCCATTCTGAAAAAAACGTTTCGGAAAGATTCCGACCAGAATTTCATTCCAATTTTTTATTTGGAATTATTTCAGCAGGACATTCACTTGCTCGGAATTTTCGGAATTCCGAATTCCGTTGCGAATATTCTTGACCAATGACCATAACCCTAACATCCACCCCCAGACGTTCCATTAGAAGATCACATCCAATTCGAAAGTTCGTTACTCATTTCAATTCTTCACAGACGTTTCATTAAAACGAGTCACAAGTTTTTTTCATCTTGATCACTTGGAGGGAAAGAACGAAACATGTTATTAGGTGCACGAAAACTCAGACGTGTCAAATTGGCATCTCACTTGAGTTGTCAGTAGACCCTTTCCTAAAATAGAGCTCTTATTTTAATGTTCCCGGAAATGTGTTTATCTGTTCCACACCAATTGCCCTTCAGAGAACACAATTACAGATGGAAAAGTGGTAATTGTTGTTCACTCATTTTCTGATGAACCTAATTTCAGCTGATGTTCATCGCAGAAAAGAAAGATCTAGACTCTCCAAGAAAATCCTTCTTTAGAGATAGATGTCAGAATTTGCAGATGAGCAACAAAATTGTTGTGGATTCCGCATAATTGGGGTTTGAAACGACGGGTCGAAAACCCTCTGTTGTTCATTTTGGGAACCATGTGATCCAAATTCTGAATAAACAAAAATGGCATCAAGAATAGAATTCAGAAGGTTTAGCTCTCTCTCTCTCTGTGTTTGCATAATCTGATTGATTGCAATATCAAAAATTAATAAGTTTCGAGCCACTCTATTCCGTGGGAGGAGGAGGAAAGAATCAAGAAAAAAAAGTGTCAGGTTTCTCTCATCTCGTGTATGACATACTTGTGCTTCTCATATCAAAACGTGTGCTTCTTTTGGGTTTTCAAATATTCTGGAGGAAGACATCTAAGGTCAACAACATCAGCAACATTCCATAGGTTCTCAAATTCCCCTTTCTGATTTATTCCGATGCGATTCTTCTAAACTGTCAATAATCCTTGTTTTCCCACCCATAATTTAGATATTTTGGGACTTTTCATTATTGACAAAAAAGGTTCAAGCCAAAATAGATCTAGATACCACCTATTACTTATAGATAACTGTTCTCAGAACTATTTCTGATTTCCAGCTGCAAAACGTCTGAAAAAACACCACCCGCGGTCTGACACACAGGTTGAAAGCGAGTTTTGAATTTTTTTTTCGAAAACAAGAAACAAAAATTACAATCATAGAAATTGTTTGGAGAACATAAGTAGTTCTTCGTTTTGCCTCCTTTCTTCAGATTTTTTGACTAATCTTCCAGATTATTCGCTCGTTTTTTTTCTTTTTACGACCTTCTCAATAGTTTGTCATTTCGCGAACATCATCGAAAATAAGCATCAAGGCTTTGAATTTCATTGGTAAATGGAAGGTTTGAATTTTTAGGACACAATTATTTTTAAAAGTATATGGTGCTCTTGGCCTTCCGGCTAATAGGGACCCTATAGGTTTGAGAATCTGAATTTTCAAATAAATTCTCCAATCTGGTAAAACTTCATGAGATTCTTTAAAACGTATTAATCTTCGAATCTAAAAATTTCTAGATAAACAAAGCCGTTTTCAGCTTTGTAAAAACTCAATTTTTAATAAGTACACCTCCCCTGATCGTTTATTCTTTTGGTCTAAACTGCTGACCCAAAAATCAGTGAACCATAAAACCTGTCTAGTTTTGTTCCAAACAAACTTGTTTTTGCAAGAAATCTAAAACAAGGACAAAAAGATGATAATGAAATTAACGGCTCCTCATTTTTTCTAGAAGAATGACAACCCAAACCTAATGCGACTTCTTCTTCTTCTTCATTTATTTCTGTTTTTCTTTCCATTCTTCCCTTTGTTGAATGATGTTTAGAGCCCTCCCACCACCCCGCCTTCTTTTTACTCATTCTTGACACGTGGCAGTGTTCATCTTCTTCTTCTTTCTAACCAATGTCACATTTTCAATCCATCTCTGTCCCTTTCTTCTTCCGCCTTTTTCTTCTTCTTCTTCTTTTTCTTACCCATCATTCATCCATTTGCATTCTGAAACACATAATCCTACCATTTCTCTCTCTCTGCTCCATTAGGGATGATGAGGAGCATCATGAGGTTGTTTCTTCTAATTGAATTTGAATAGAGAGGACAAGAATAGAGTGAACTGCCTTTGACCGAAAAATGCGCAATTTCGAAAAAAGCAACATTTTACAAACACTGAGGACCCCCGGACCCCCATTCGTACGTCATTCGGAGCACTAATCTGGTCGAGCGGTCGTCTTCAAATCTTCAAAAGATTTTTAGTTGCTTCTTATTATTCTTTGCTCTGGACACAGTTGAGAAATCAAAGATAGCAGAATGAATAGCCTGCCTAAAACTATGAAAACATCCGGAACATTTTTTGGATTTTAAGATTCAACAGCTTGATATGAAATTTCCTGAGGGAACGGAGAAAAAAAAACAAGTGGTTGCTGTTCAAAAATCCAAACGAAAAAAAAAAGAGGAGAATCGAAAGTATCAATCTTTCGGAAGTGCGAAAAAAAGTTTGAGAAGAGCATGTAGAGTCCGAGTTTTGAATTTTGGTTTCTTATTTTGCACCTCACATCTTGTTTCGATTCTAGTTTTCCGCTGATGTGTTCATTCTTCTGCATTCCTTCCTAGAGAGTTCAAACTATAGACTTTTAAGCAGAGGAACAAAACGCCCACTCATAGTTTTGAAATTGATTAGGTCTTAATTTGAAGGCCCATTCCTTCGAATTTACGTCACAGTGGACATTTTGAAATCAAAACGGGATATCTAAAATTGGGTTTTGAGATTTTTGATTTTGATTTTTGCAGCTTATTCTAATGATTTCTGAATCTAATGAATCTTTTCACACCGTTTTCCATACATACTGAATGTTTTATATATCAAAAGAATTTTTAATAACACTTTTCTCTAAAACCTGTAATGGCCAGCTGCCAAACCTTCTAATTTTCCGACATGTTTTGGTAAAAATAACAGAAAAATCGACTAAAATCTTTAAAAAAACGAGATACTACATCCGGTTTATAAAAATGTGTCTAGGGTACGGTAGTTGTCGTTGTGGGACTTTCGGCAACCGGCGTTTCTCTTCCACAGTTTCGATTTTTCGTATCAGAATAATACTGAAAAGTGGCCGACTGCTAAACCGTTAATTATAAAAACAATATTTTCCTTAATTCTTCCAGAAAAAATTTGATGTTTCTTTGATTGGCTTACTGTAACCTTACTTTGGCATTTCACCTGCATGAACTTTCGTAAACACCCAAATAGAATCCCCCAAGCCGTCAACTTTAAGTTTATTTATCTCCATTCCGGGAAAGATATCAAAATTTTGTCAACAGACAAAATGTTCGTCATAATATCAAAATTATTTTTTCAGTTAACCACTTTTTGATATCTTCGACAGGAACCGAGATAAATCAGCTCAAAATTGAAGGTTAGGGGAGTCGTTCTATACGAGTGTTTATGGTATTTATCTACAGTAATCTCAGCCCTGATTAGTAACTAACAGCTTAATTTCACTAACAAAAAGTTCAGTTTAAATCCCACAAAACAAACTTCAAGAAAACCAAAAAGTCGTCATATTTGTTGATTGTTTTAACACCTGTTTCACCTACACTTCCTTCCAATAGAATCAAAAAATTACGTGACTTAAAGGGATTCAAACAAAGTTAAAAGAAACTTAAGGTTCCCTGTAACGCTTTGAGAAGACGTCGCCGACTTCAAAATAATCGAAGCAACTTATCACTGTCGCTCATCTAACTCGTCGTTTCGATTTCAATTTCCGTCACTCTCTATTTTACTTTTGTCTAAACACTCGATTCTTCTTCCATCTTCTTTTTTCTGAAATTCCAATTAATTATTGTTTTCGTTTCACTTCTTCTCTTTTCATTCTTCCCCCTTCACCCAGATGCTCGTCAGAGTTTCTCTCTAATAACTGACTCTGAACATAGCAACTTTAAAATGGCAACAAGGAGAGCAAGAGCTGTTTCTATTATGATGCCTGTCACGTAGTGCATTCCATGACTTTCGGGGTGGTTGGAGACTTGGAAATCTAAAAATAGTGGAGGTGTACTTTCAAGGATAGAACTAGTTTTTTTTAATGGGAATATTTGCAATCAAATGTTTTTAAATGGGACAGAAACGGATGTGTTCTAAAAATTCCATTTCAAAATTCATCCGTTTTCTGGAAAAAAAAATTTCGGGTTTCCTAGAAAGTGTGAACTCGAAGGACCCTGAAATATTGTGCCTCTTATTGTTATTCTCTCTTCTTCTTCTTTTTGTTTTTTCTCATAAAATTCAGAATTCTACTGAACCGGACATTTTGAATAGACGAGGAGTTTTTCAAGTGTTTTATATATTCCTCTTCCTTCTTTATTTGATAATTCATTAGCTTTTACTCTTTCTACATATGTTCATCATCTTCTTCTTCTTCGTCTTCTGCTTATTCCAACGTCATCTCTCATTTACTATGATTCATTTATCACTTCCAAACATCGTTTCCATTAAATAAGACCCTCCTCTCTTTTCTTCTCGCTTTCACACCCAAAATTACCGAGCTTTTGGTCTTCTTTTCTCTTTTAAATTAACGGGTGTCATCTCTCACTTCTCATTCCATGTTTTCGTGCCATTCTCTTCTTTGCTTATGAGACAATTTCTTCCGAATTCAAACCCAAATTTTGCTGATTTTCTATTTCTATTTTTAAACGACGAGTGTATTATTCTGATGGAAGAGAAAGGTCAGTGACCGTAGCCGAAGATCCCGCAACTACCGTAACCTGAAAAATTTTTCAACGGATTCTTGTTCTCGTTTTACTTTCAGCCGTGTTTTCTGTTATTTTTCCCAAAAAGAAAAGCGGAAAATAACAGTTTTTGATAGTGCAAAAAATTTACTGAAAACGAAAAAAAGAAAATAAACATATTATAGGTTACTGTAATTGTCGTTGTGGGACCTACGACCACGGGTATAGGCGTTTCTCTTCCAAAGATACGATTTCTTTTGTATTAGGTTCTTCGACAAAATAATTATGTTTCTTTTCTTTTTTCTTTGAATGTTTAGTTGAGACCATGTCACAATTCTATGTTCTTAAGGATGAATTCAACACACGATCATCTGAATAATGAAACAAAGGCGTTGGCGACTACAGAAGCCACTATATCAGAGGAAATGATGAGGGAATGGTTTCAAAGTCAAATGGGAAAAGGGACTGGAGGGGGAAAAATACAAGCAATTGTTCCATTAGAAGGTAGGACGATTGACTCTTCTGGATCTCTATAAAAATTAAACAACAATAATTTTCAGAAGACATGGAATGGGCAACAGTCGGTGGTCGATTCGGCATGGCATACATTGCCTTCGGAATCCTAGCCATTCTCGTAAACATTGTCATATTTGTATGCATTTGTCTCCGTCGACGCACCACGTCTTCTCACGTCTTCTACATTATTATTCTGAATTTTTGTATAATTGACACTATCAAAGGTCGGTTTTTGACACTGATGTATTCAAATTGAAACCTAATTTTAGGAATATGCTCTGTTCTTTTTGCTTTGAAACTTCTTACCTTCAACATGGCAACCGATGCATCTATGTGGACAGTTCGAGTGGATCAGTATAGTGGAGTTCTTTTGAGATTCACCAATTTAACAACGATTATGAATGTTCTTCTGATCACCATGAATGAATTCATCTTCATTTGCTATCCGTTAAGATATTCTTGCATTGTTACAAGGTATTTTTAAAGATTCTTCCTTTTTACAGTTAGGTGAATTCAAATTTCAGATTCCGTGTTCTCTGTGCAATTGTTTTCAGTTGGTTGATTGCTTTAATGTTAACTATACTCAATATGCTAACCAGTACGAGACAACGAAGTGTTATGATTGATACGGATTGTGAAAATGGTATTCAAAAACAAAAATCCAAAAAATATAAATTATTTTATTTCAGAAAGCCTGATCAACGCTTCATTCTGTATCAAACACCAAGAGACTTCTCTTTTTCATTATTTTGTCTTTCATATGGTTTTGATTGCTTTCTGCTTGATCTGCCTTGCAATCACTGCAAGCTGCTACTTCATTCTTTTTAGGTAACCCCTTATCTTTATCTAAATTTCCATCTTTTTTTTAAATTTCAGAATAATTACGAAACTAGTTCGAGCTGATGTAAAATACCAAGTGGAAACTGACCTTCTCCGAGAAGAACATTCTCATGGGAAATCAATTGCTCGCCGGAAGAAATACGTTTTGATGATTGGAAGTGTCATTTTGGTGTATACAGTATACTTAACAACTTATGCAGTTATTCAGGGAATGCATCTTGTCAATATTACAAGGTATTATTGATCAGAATCTAGATTTTCATGAAATGTTTTCAGCCGAAGCAAGGGAACTCCAGTTCATGCAAGAAGTGGTTACATCTACACCAAATACACGTGCTACTTGTTCATTTCTTTCCACTCACTGCTTCAACCATTATGCTTTGCGAGGATGAGAGAATTCAGAAACATCCTGAAAAGGTTTGAAACTACTCTAATTACTTTTCTGATCTTTTCTTTGTTTCAGAACTCTGTTCCCTTGCCTCACAAAAACTGATCCGATTTTGACAACAGATGTCTACAAACGTAACAGTCAACCTACTGATATCTAATGAATCCTTCAATTTGCATTTGCTTCCCTTTTTCTGTATCAATGTTCTCTGGTTGTGCCAACAAATTTCAATGTTCTCAATTCTGAATCCGGACCATAACTTATTCTCACTTTTGCCCTGACCATGCATCATTTTATTTAATAAATACTTTTTGTAAAATATAAAAATATATGTGATTAGTCAAGTTGAAAGTGGAAGAATAAAAAGTAAATTTAAATAGAAAATCTTACTACAGAGCGTACTAAACCTTTGTCTTCTTAAAGTTTGTGCTCACACAAGCTAAATAATTAAATGTGTAGTACAATTCGACAATTTCCTAATCGTTTTTCAGCTGATCTTTTAAATATAAGTCGTCAACGGTTTTAGAAGTTCGCCCGAAAACTTATTCGAACTACGCGCGTTTTCTATATTTGCACTGGGGCGCGTTTACACAAGCCTCAAAAAAAAGAGACCCCGGAGTTTCCGGGGAAAAAAACTCCGGGGAAAAAAACTCCGGAGAAAAGTGGGCGGAGTTTTTATTCCCCGGAGTTTTTATTCCCCGGAATTTCCGGGGTCTCAAAAAATTATTTTCAGTTTCTTTCAACATGTCAGCTGAACAACACTTTTTTTGTGTATTTCAGCTAATATACAAGTTAGAAAATTTCGCAATATCGTTTTTCGTACTTATAAAAAAAATAGAAAAAACATTTGCAACTCAATTTGATAATTTTTGCTCAATTGTAAAAATTTTTCGATTTAACTCTAATTGTGCGCTCACAGTTCCTGCTATTTACAAATATTTTCAGGCATCATGATTTCACCTTCTGATTCTCGACTGCTTTATGAAAGTCAATTTTCCATATTCAATGGACGTCTGTGCTCTCTTCGAATCTTATTGATTCCGCAATCTGAGACAATTTCTAAAGTGAGTTTTTCATGACGAGATGTAAATCTTTATATAGTAAAATTAGTTCAGATTAGAGTAACGTCGCCGTCCGATGCATCGATATTGCTTGAAAATACCATAGCAGAACAAAGTGATGTGGAAACATTTGTTGATGTCTTGAAAATGATTACCAATGTTCGATCACAAGATCCCACAATACTCGGACCACGCGTTGAGCCGAGTCTAGGGGAACCCGAATTCCCGTATCGGCTGGTAATTGATCCGATTTCACCGAGTACAGATGTAATAACTCTCCCATTATGCCAAGCTTCTCCACAGGCAAGGTGTGATTATGTTCTGCAGTTGTATGCCAGAGAAAAGGCACAACATCAAATCCAAATTGAAAAATCAGATGAGCTATCGAAGCAGCTGCATAATGCAATTGTTGATTATAACTCGGTAATTTTAAAATTATTACCATTTCAAAGAAAATATTAATTATCAGATGAAAACTCGTTGCGAGTTCCAAGAAAAGGAAATCGCATTGCTCAGACAGTTAGCTGAAAGCAACTCAAACAAAAACAAACGAGCCCGAGACGATTCAGAGAACACGCCATCCAAAAAAAGGAGATGTGGATGTGGAGATGAGGAATCGTGCGATTCTGATTGCGATGGAGAAATCAATGAAGACGAAGAAGATGATATGGAAGCTGATGCTGAATTGTTCCGTGCGGCAACTTCACAACTACAATTAAGCGGACGGGGATCTCATAATGGTATGAAACTTGGTTGCGTTGATATTCTGATTGCATTTAGTTTTTCAGTAGAAGTATCATCTGGAGAAGGAGGTTCGAATGATAATGATCAAATGAATCTGATGAAACAGCTTGAAAAGTTATCTAGTGTCATTGTAAAAGGTATTCCAATGTGTTCCCCTTTCCAATACGGACAATTACCGTATTTGGTCGAATTTCTGCTACAGTCCGACCAACGGAAAATATCATAAGATAGTTATTTTCAGCTCCAAATCTGCCTTCCACGTCATCGATGAGTACCATGCACATAAAAATGGAAAACAATCAGGAGCAATCAGGACCGATAGTTTTACAAAGCCAAGGAACGTCGGAAGACCAAAACGGCGTCAAAAAAGTTGTCGGAGTAGTTCAATACGTAATATGTCAACTATGTCCGGAAGAAGAGCAAAAGTCGATGGATCCAGCGAATCAGCAGCAGATGCAAGAGCATTTCCTCGACAAACATGTAGACAAAGAGAAAAAGAAGTGTGAAGCGTGTCCAACAGATCAGTTCCAACCACATAACATCGGCCAGCACTACAGGTTTCATACAAATAGGTGAGAAGTAAGCCATTCGAAAAAATGTTCACTTCTGGAAAATTTCAGTGTATATGCATGTCAACACTGTGGAAAACGAGGACGTCGAAACTATCTGATGTCTCACGTGCGGACACACACTGGAGAGAGACCATATAGGGTAACAAAAAAATGGCCAGATCCGTTTAGAAAACGTCTCAAATTTCAGTGCGACACATGTTCAAAAAGTTTCTCCGACGCATCAACTCTCCGTCGGCATCGGCTAGTGCACACTGGCGAAAAGAAATATCAATGTCCAGTGTGCGGACGGGCAATCGCTCGCAAGGATAACGTTAAAGTGCACATTCGAAGCCACGGAATTCACGCTTGAGATGAAAGGTACCGGAATTGAGTGCACAATTCACATATTTGTTTCGAACTGTGTTTAATAAACTTCTATTCACTTTGTTCTTGCTTGTTTTGTGATTTTGGTCACTGCACCTCTTTCCATATATTTTTTTAAAGTTTGAAGTGTCCAACCAGGGATGTTCGGAATGAAATACCGACACGAATGTTTCCGTAGTTTTTTTTTCGGAAACAGCTTTTCGGACTACCGTAGTCCGACTACGGTATGTCAAAACCGGACGCGGAAAGTTTTCTTGCGGATCTCGAGCGGAATTACTTTTAGTTTTTCCCATCGCTTTTTGAAATCTGTTTGTCATTTTTCCGCGATTTTGTGATTGGAAAGATACATTCCGAAATTCTGAAAAGACCATTTCTAACAACCTAACTTCTGTTTCTCATTGCAGATGTCGGCACAAAACGATGATTCGAAAAATTTAACAGATACATTAGACGAGATTTTGTAAGTGTTTTTTGTTCGTTCTTCTCAGTCTCACTGTAAATCTTTCAGAAAGCTACAAGAAGAACTTCAAACGAGAATAGGAAGCTCAAATCACAACTTGGAGACAAACTTCGAGAATATCAAAGATTTTGTGAGTCGTGACATTCAAGAATAACCTATTTGCTGCTCTTCTGATGTTTCTCTTTTTCTTACAATTTATGCATCACTCGGCTCTTAGCCCTTCCCATTATAGATATGCAAATCGTATTGCCTCACGCACCCCCGATTCGACCAGTGCATTCATCAGTATTCTCTCTATCAGTTGTGGTCCGCCCATTCTATCCTTCATATTTTTTCAATTTTTTTTCTTCCTTTTTTCTTTTTTTTCGCTTCTTTGGTGTTCAAACAGAAAAGCCAGGCCACGACAACGAATTGGTGATTGAATTGCGACGGCGAGTTTCCGTCTGAATCCTCACGCTCTTTGCCACGCTGAGAAGACAGCTCATCCCATTTTCAGCCTTTCTTTTCCCAAAAGCTAGCATTCTCAGTATTCCGCCTTTTTCATCTTTAAATTCTTGTGAAATATCAGATTTCACCCGTTCCCTTCACTTGTTTGTTTATCTCGCCGTCTTAATTCATAATTCCCCGTTCACGCGGGTCCAGTCAGCTGAGTGAGGACAAGGACGGGTGGACCAATGAAAAAGTAGGAAGATTTGGAATATAATTCGGGTGTCATGTTACTTTCAACATTGCTTCAGAAGTCTATCTATCCACTTCAAAATGTCATCTCTTCTGAACGCTTTCTCGCCGACATCATCCCCTATTTTGTGATTTACTATGTAAATTGTAGCAAATATCTGAGTCACGTTCAAGAGCTGCAAATTGAAGCCTGTAGTGAGAAAAGTCACAAAGTATCTTCATAAAGTTCTTCTTTTAAAGCTAATCTCTCCCTCTCTCTAGGCCTCCATTGCTCAAAAGTAATTTTTCTAACCTCGAAATCTGATGTTTGTTTCGATAAGTTATTCCGTTCGCATCATGAAACCAGTATTCAAATTACATCCCCTTCCCCCTCCTCCCCCTCTCCTGTGTGTCTACATCTGCTGTTCAAAGAAGGCAGTTTCCATACATTTTTCATTAGAATCGTGTTTAGTTTGGAACATATTTACAGTCATATACATTTCATAAGTAGGATAACGAAGGATAGGATTCTCTCATCTCTGTTGTCTACCCGCGTAGTTGATTTAAGTTATGATCTTTAGAAATCATATAGGTTTTCAATTGTCTAATATTTTATCAGTTATGATATCATTTCATTTTTCTCCTGTTTAAATGAACGGAAGCTGTCACTGGCAGGGGCCTCCCTTCCTGTTCTCGGTCTCTCCATTCCATTTAGATTCTCGGTCCCGTTCTGTTTATCCTTTCACTTACTCACTGTTTAATCATCTCCGAGCCCCTATCGTCAAAATTGTGAGAACGATCATTTTAAGAGACAGAGAGAGTCAGACACGATTCGGCTGTCAAAAATGATAATAAAGAATGAAATGAAGTTGAATATATTGCTATACTTGCAGGTCTCGAGAGCGCATGCCTACATTCCGATACTGAAGCAGATTTCGAAGGATATGATCGAGATCTGTGAAAGGACACAGGCTCTCAAGAAACGAACAAGACAACTGGAATCCACAGAGTGAGTCTTTTCAATTTGAAAAAAAGTTCTATGGCCTACGAGTTTCAAGTATCCATTCCTTATACTTCGATTTGTCTATAAATCCACGTCGCCACTTCTGACATCATGGTCGGGTGCCTTGTTCTCACCTAGCAACCTTGAATGGTTTTTATGGGAGGGTTGGGGAAAGCCACTAGACACACCCACACGACACTTGATTCATTCATTCTTCCTCTCGCAATTTCACGAATTGAATTCTGGCTCCAAAATCTAGTAACCGGTTGAAATGAATTTGTAGATGGCTACCCGGATTTTAGAGTCCAACATTTTCTCAAAACGTAACCCATTTGTTCATTCTCTTTTTGTTGAGTTGATCTCATAAATCTTTTTCGTCACTAGTAGGAGAAAAATCAAATGAAAGAAAAGAACACGATGATATGGGGAGGCGATAAATCAGATATCGACACGAGCCGAAATTACTTGTGTTTCTTCTCTTTCTCTTTTTTTTGTGTATGTGAGCATCATCCGAAGGATGACAGCTGACTAGAGTTGAAGAAATGAAAGTTTTTCACTTAGCAGAATAATTTCAGATTCTTTAATGTTTGGAATTTTTCTACGAACTCTGAAGATCAATTTTCACTACCCCCGTTTTAGGATTTTTTTTTTCTAATTTCTTGAAAGGCTATTCAAATAGGAAACCTACCGAAAAAGACTGAACACACAACCAGAAGGCTCGGAACCTATAATTGAGAACACTCAGATTTATTACTTTTTTCTTCTTCTGAACAACGGGATCCTTCAATTATTTTTCAGTTGTTTACCGGTCGAATTTCTTTTTCTTCTTCTCCTTACCCTCTGGCTGATGTCTTCTTCGTTTCCTCCAAGCTTTTGTGTGTGTTTTTTTCAATCACTTTGAAACGGAAATTGAGGATGCTCCTTTCTTTTTTTTCATTTGGAATGAGTTTGAACCCTAAAACATCTACAACGACGAGATTTTTTGAGCCAGAAATCTGCCCCTACATCTAGATTAGTATTTGCAAAAAAAGCTCCGTTATCTTTTTTTTTTACCCATTTCATTCGAATGCCCCTTTTTCTAATTCCCTGTATGTTTCGCTTGTTTAGGTTTTCCTCTTCTCCGTCATTTCCAGATGTCCTCCGTGTTGCTCACAATGTTCTCTATGACTTCTCATCTAAACAAAAACAAGAACTCAGCACTCGTATTCATCTTCTTCTTCTCCTTCTGGTTCCGCCCCTTTTCCTCTTAATCTTCTTCATCGTTGTTCCTCTCGACACCCTTTTCTCATCTCATCTGTTCACCTTTCTCAGTGGGCCTTCTAAATTTTAACGGCGTGTTTTATGAAGTGCTGCGCAACACACTTCGCTCCGAGTAACTGACCCCAGTAGTCGTCGTGGCAGTTAGAAGTATCGCATAATGTGTCTTGACAAAAGGGATGACATCCTTCCTCTTCTTCTTTTAGGTCTTCCTATTGTTTCGTTCCACCACCAGGCACTCCTAATGCTATTACCCTTCAAGTAGTTGTTTTCTGTTCTGACGTCGCCTGTGGATAAAAAAAAGAGCTAGGTCATAATTTTGGTTTTTCAGAACCCGTGAATGAGTTACATTCATCTATTGAGTCACTTTTTCATAATTCAGTGTCCAACCTACTATCAGTAAAAAATTACGAGTTATTTAGGTACAAGGACCCGCTTTCAAACAAATCTAGTCATTCGATTCTTGAGTTGCCTTGACGACTTCATTTTTCCGTGGGAATTTACAGAAAATCCATTTTTCAATTTTAATAAAAACTGAGATTCCATTAAAACCCATTCCCAGCAGTAAGCAAACACCGGCTCAGAAAGAACCCAGCTCAGGAAAAAAAAACTAAAAACCAAGGACATCATGCGTTTTGCTCCACTTCTCCCCTTCGAGATTCTGTATGCTGATGACCCAATATATAAACCGAGACATCAAAATTAAGCTGTTGCTCTTTTCTGCCCTCTTCTTCTTCTTCTTCTTCTGATCGTTGTCCTTCCTCTCTTTGCTCCTATCCTCGCCTCTATTGTTTATTTTATCCGAAATTGAACCCGAATAACGGAAGACGCGAAAAAACGTTTTAGACCCAGGGATTTGTCGCCCTCCGCTGATTCTGCGTGCTACTGTACACCTAATTCAATATACAAGATTAGTTAGACTATTATGCTGCTTTCTTTCGCCAACACGTCATAAAATGTATTGGAGCTAAAAGTGGTGTACATGACTTTATTTGTGTGTGGTCTCTCTCTGCTTCGATTACCGAAAAGGTAGTCATAAATCCTAAAAGGCCGGAATATCCCACCCGGAACAACGTTTCCCATTTATTCTCTAGCTATTCCAGCACGACGACGACGTCTTCCAACACAACCAGTACAACACCCGAAAGGCAATAAGCAGATTCAAAAATTTCGTCTTCATATCCTACTCAGCGTTTTCGCATCTTTTGATTCTCGTTCCGCCATCTTACGCTCTTTCAACTTCTCGTATTCACCACTTTATTTTTAAAATCGACGTCTTCCCGTCCGTTCACTTCCCCGTTCAACCGCCTGCAATTATAGTGTGCATAATGGACGGTCCTTTGCGGCAACCTGTCATCTCGGTGCGTCGGCTCATCATCATAGCCATCGTCTTGCTCTCCGCATCGACGGTTGACGTTTCCGCAACGCGCAAACCTGTGATGTGTCTGCAATGTGGAGGGGAGAAGTACGAAGGAAGTGTTAGGTGAGAAGAATCTTCAGAATCATCACATAAATAAGCGCTTATTTTCAGGTTATCACGGGATTTTTGCTGCAAAGCGACTCCAATAATGTGCCAATCTCATCAGGTAAACTTTGAAGATTAGTTACTAAATATATCCTTTCTGCATGCAAGAAAACCAGGGATGTTCTGAGCGGAAGTCCGTAAATTTCGAAAATTTAAAGTTCAAGTATTCCGATATTCCCAATTTTCAAATTCGGAAAATTCCCGAAATTCGAAAATTTGAAACTCAGAATTTTCGACAGTTCGAAGAAAACATCGATAAGCTCATTCTCTATTTTCGTAATTATTTTCAGGTTTGTCTTCGAGCACTTGTCTATTCACCATACGGAAACTTCTTTTTGTCTGGATGCCACCCCGAAGAGGATCATCTGAGTGGTTGTGACTTCCATTCACTTCCACACAACTCATCAGTTCACCGATGTGTGTGCAAAGACGGAGAATGCCAGAACGACTTTCCGGGAGACTGCCCGATTAAAGGAATCACCGACACTACAGTAAGATTTATCATTTATTAAATTACGTTTATTATGAAAATCAAATGTTCCAGAAACCAGTAATAACCACCACTCTGTCTCCAACGTCAACACCTCCATGTCTGATTGCTCGGAATAGAACGAAAACGAACTCGGCCCGCAACCGCCACCATCACAATCACAGTATGACGAGCAGCTCAGCCGTATCCTCCACAATTCTTCTCTCGATATGGGTCATCGCGGTTACAACAATCTGATCTCTCACTCCTTTTTCTTTGTTTTATTGATTTCAATTCATCTATTTTCCATTCCATCAGATATGAAATGATGACAAATCCAACTGTTTTTTCTTCATTCCACTCACCCGACATTGTGTTCTGAAACCTGTTTCATGTGTATTTGTTTCCCATTCTATCCGTTTATCATACCCTTCTATCACCTCTACCACCCAACAACGAGACTCAGACTGTTTCAAAAATGATTACTTGGTTTTTCTGGACAATTATCATTGCACTTTTTTCTCTGTAAAACGAATTGCCTTATCAGACACTTTTTCTCTTGTTCACCTTTCAACTTCTCTCTTTGTTTCGTTTTTCATCTTCCCAGTTTCCATGAGTTTGTACGTGTAACAGATGCTTTAATATTGTATTGTTAACTAGTGACTCATAAATAATATATGAATTTAGTTATACCTGTTCGGTTGAATCAAATATTATAGACTAGTACAAATAGTTCGTATTCCAATTCGTACTTCTGAAGTGTTAGCGTGATGGTGTCCGTATTTGTAATCTGCTCTGCTGCGTGCAAAAACCGGAAATACTTGTCGTGTAGGGATTAAAAAAGGAAAAGGACCTTGAGCGAGGAGCACTTCTGTCTCTTTCATCCCCTTCTTCTCCTTCCCTATATACCGCGAGAATTCTTCTCATTTTATTCTACTTCTCGACCAACACCGAACCAAGCACATTATATACATTTTTCCTTCATAGCTTTAGTATAGATTTCTTCTTCAAAACGTATTTTGCATTCTTTTTTGCTTTTGAAATCTGTGTGTTCTGAATAGAAAGGTTTCACTCTTTCAATTTATTCAATTCTAAAAAGGATATTGTTTATCTAGGAACTGATTCATTTGTTTCTACTTTAAAAATCATATTCTGACAAAGATTGGTTATTTTCTCTGTGTCGTGCCCCTGAAACGCAAAAAATTCTGAGCAACATCCGATTCAAACAACACCAGCTCGCGGTTTACTTTCGTGGGTCTCCACGTAGCAACGATTCTAGTGAGCAGATAATACTTACTTCCAACCACACCTATTTAACCCCGAAGAAAATATGTCCTTGAATATCGTCTCTCGCTCATTCAGAAGCTTTTTTACACGGGATCTTCCGAAGGTAGTATCTTCTTTTTTCTCTTTCACCATGCATCTGCAAGATTACGCAACATGTCGATCTCTTGATATCTTCCGTTTTTGAATCACAAATTCCGTAGAAGCCTCTTTTCTAATAGTTTTTAAAAAAATTACTCAAGTTGTCCATTTTTAGATGAGCAATACACAGGTGATCGCCGAGTTGGAACGAGAGCGGGACCGTCATGTGCTCTCCATTCAAAGCCATGTCGTTCATGGGTACGCAGGAAATAAGGCCTCCGTTTTCCCGCTCCAGGTTTATTCTCCCAAACTAGAATATTTATCATAAAAACTGTTTTCCAGCTACACGGTTTCGATGTCGACTTCATCAACAGTGTTCAATACTCAAATCATGCGGGTAACATCGAATACTTGACGCTTCCAACAAGTAACTTTGGGCCCTCTCATGGAATAATTACCGTAGAGAATACCCATACGCATGAATAATGTAGCATGATCAGTTCCGTTCAATTAGCACATACCTTTTAGTTTAGAGAACTAGTCTTTTTGTTATTTAGGACACCAAATGTAAAATTTCCAGGATATCCTACTGTGAAAGGGCAAAAGCTCACCGAGAAAGAGCTGGAAGAGCTCTACGAAGGTCTCGTGCTCAACAATGTGAATCACTATACACACATTCTCACAGGTATCACAGTTTAGGGAAGTATGATACAATAAAAATGTTTTTCAGGGTATTGTGGTAACGTTGAATTTCTCAAAAAAATAGCTGATATTGTAAAAGACCTGAAAAAGAAAGATCCAACAACGAAGTACGTCTGTGATCCAGTAATGGGAGACAATGGGCGCTATGTGAGTTAAAAAAAAACGATTTAATTAATTTATCAGTTTCAGTACACCCCTAAAGAGCTCAAGCCAGTTTACCTTGATCTGATCATCCCACTGGCAGATGTTCTGACACCAAACGCGTTCGAACTCGGAGAGCTCACCGATACGCAGATAGAAACTGAAGAAGATTGTTTGAGAGCAGTGAAGATTCTTCACGACAAGGGAGTGAAAACCGTTGTTGTCACTAGTGGTGTAACTGGAGCTCAAACGGACGAATGTCTCAGGTGTTATGCCAGCGTTGCTGGAAGTGAAATTTATCGTTTTACCTTTCCAAGGTTGAGAGGGCAGTTTGTTGGAACTGGTGAGCTACGAATTGAAAAGATCAAAGTTGGAACAATGTTGAAAAAACATTTCAGGAGACGTCTTTGCCTCACTTTTAGTGGTTTGGCTAGACGAAACGAATGGAAATGTGGCGGAATCGGTGAAAAAGGTTCTTGGCTCTATGCAAAAATTAATCCAGAGGACAAGCGACTTTGCTCAACAACAGGTCGACCAAAACTCGAGAGCAATGTGTGAACTGCGTCTTGTCCAATCCCGGAAAGATCTTGTACTGCCTCCAACTTGTGAACAAGTTAAAGTAGAAAAGATCGAGAATACGAACTAAACTTTTTTGTGGATGAGCTTTGACGCATAATTGTGATACCTCTCTTTTTGTTTGAATTTTCAATATACTAGTCATTTTTATTCTCTCACACATATTTATTTGTCAAATGAATCATTGTTTATTGTAGATGAAAATATGTGAACATGTACAAAAATGGCTTGTTTCAATTGAGGGGAACATTATAAGAAGAGAACTGTAATGGGATGAGAAGTATAAGAAAAGAAGGAGTAACGATACTCCCCTGATTGAATTTCCAATGTGGAACTACTCGATTAAATCCGTATCATTTGTGCGATATCACGGGCAGATTGTTTGTATTCAGGATGATTGGGCTATGTCGGGAGTGCTTCTGGTCATCGATGTGAAGCGGAACGCGCGGACGACGTTTCGAAGGCGTCGACGGGCGGCCGCCGCTGATGACCGAGCTGCAGTGCGGATGTCGACTCGTTCACGAGATGGGGAACGAGCATCGACGGATTTGGATGTGGTGGCTCCTGAAATTTCAAATTTTCGTTAATAAGAGGAATTGAAGTAATCTGTAATAATTGTTACAGTATTCTCTAATGAATACAGTAATCTGTAACATTCCTCTGGTCAAATTTCAATGGGCGTTGTTTGAGAATGGGCGGAGCTTAGGTCTGGTAGCGAAATCCTTGAAGGAGCATTTTTCGTAATCTTCTAGTCTATTTTTCCGATTTTCAATTAATTTCATCGGTTTTGGTCTTTTTCACAAAAAAAATTACGAAAAATGGATGGTCTTCAAGGATTTGGTTACCAGAACTAAGCTCCGCCCACCAGGGAACTTTCGGCCGCAACATACATTAAAATTAGACCAGAGTAATAATTAAACCAGTAAAAAAAAGAATACCTTGTAGGGACGCCATCATTGGGGTCTTCTTAGAAGAATTACTTGAAGGTCCACTGTTACATGCAGCAGACAATGTATCAACTCTATCTCTAGATGTCTCCGGCTGTGAAACGGTTCCGAATGTGATTTCATCAGAACAAAATTCAGAATCCCGTCCAGAATCATCAGCTGCTTTCAAATTGAATTCAGCTTTCCGTCCGGGTGCCGGAGTCGTTGACGCGGATTTGGTTCCCAGTGCAGATGTAGATGTGCATTCTTGACTGGGACCTTGTCCATCTTGGGAATCATCTGGGAAAAAGTGTTGAGCTTCTGGACGACTCGGACTAGTTTGAGTCTTTGTCAGAGAAAATGGCCATGACCCACTTCTTTGTGATTGAACTTTAACTTTTCCATTTGTTGTCAGTTCTCTGGCCAATGGGCTTTGTCTACCGATGTGAGAATGATCACAGTGACGGTGATGACGTGGAGAATCTTCTTCCAGCGTGGCAGGAAACGGCGAAAGAAGTGCTCCGGGATGAGATTCGTGGCTGTCCATTTTTGAGAGGTGATTTAGAATTTTATCAAGGCGATCTGGTTCTGTCTCTCGCAGTTTTGTGTAGATTTTGCATTGAAGTTCTTTTGGAATCTGAATCCAAATTATTGTTTTTTTTGTGTTTGAAGTGTGTAGTTTGTACCTTGAAAATCTCTTCAACATTACTAATCATCGTTTCCACAATCGTCACTTGTGACTCATTTTCAGCCAACGTCTCTTGCAATTTGTCATGATCAACACGAAGAATGGAGGGAGCGAATATGGTGGCGAGATTCCTGGCATCCATCTTGTTACCAGGCAGCTGAAAAACAAAAAAGAAAATTATTCCGAATAAACAATTGAATAGGCTACCAAATCTCCAGCTGCATTATGTTTGTCTTGTGAGTTACAAGACACTTCGTGAAGGAATTTCAGAAGAACAAACAGTGTATCCAGGTTAGGAGAAACAAGAAGAGCGAATAGAAGACGGATTGCTTCAATTCTTTCGTCAATGTTGAATTCTGAAAAAGAGATAATGTTAAAATTATAGACTATGAGAAAACCAGGTCCAGAAACTATTGTTAGAGACCTTCTGGTATTTGTGGGCCCCTTGTGATATAACGCAAAAAACGAATTTCAAAAGGGTCCCGTGATTTGACAATTTCGAAAAATTGAAAAAATTTTTTGGTCGACTAAATTTCCAGTTTTTGGGATTGTTAGAAAACTCACTTGCTGCTCCAATATAAGCCGAATAGTGCTCCGCTGGAAGCAAGCTCTGTGGCAGATCTCTGAAGTACTCCTTCAGAAGAGTTGCCACGTCATGAGACGTCGTATTCTCTACCATATTATCATTGATAACAGCTCCACCACCAACTTTCTCTAACGCATTTCTCAATTGTCTGCATCTTTTCGTGTTTCCAGCTACACGGAACAATCCAACTTGTGTCAATCCGTACGTCATCAGGTATTGTGTACAGTTCTCCACGATTTTTGGAACTTGGAGAGCATGCGGATCGACGTCATCAATGTTGGCGTCTAGGGAGCACGAGAATGAAGCAGATGCGGGACGCTGTTTCTTCAAGAATCTTCCAGTGACTTGTTGTGGTTCCACTGGTTCAGCAGAGAGAAGATTTGCAGATGGAAGAATAGAGCATGTTGGAGGGGCGGATCCAATAAGAGGAGATGGTGATGATGGGTTGGAAGTGGAGGTTGGATAGAGATTTTGAGTTGATGGATACAGCCATTTACGATCTTCTGGCATTGTTTGACCAACCATTTCAGGCTCGGATTTTGTTGGTTTCGCTTTGGATCTAGAAAATTTTCCCTTAAAATGTGAAAAGAGATTCAAAATAAAACTCACTTGTTCAGCAGAATGACCGTGGAATCATCTAACGATCTGCACCGACTCTCCTGATCCAATCTCTTCTCATTCATCATACACATCGCCAGCGACACTCCGAAAACTCTCTTTTCCTCTGGCATTGGTGTCCCAGACGCCCGTCTCTGCACATCAGCAACTGTCGGTGTTCGATTACTTTTCACAAGTTTTTGCCGTTTTTGACGAAGAGCTGACAATGGGTCTAGAATGAGATGGGGGTGACAAGGCACCGCCTAACTCCACTCACCTTTTGGTTTTCCTAGATTAAGGCCTGGCAGCATTTTAGTTAGACGCTGAGCTGCGAGCAGTTGAAGAGCCGATCGTTCGATTTCGGAAAGATTCTCGAGACGAGCACCACGAAGAATTACTTCTGCTCCATCCACCGATCTCCATGTCATACTATCCTGGAATGGAGGAAAAGGCTTTATTATGTGTTCTGAAGTAACATGCTTACCAATGATTTCCATGCAGAATCTGTTGAAGAAGACGTCGAACTAGCATGAGAGTACGCGTATTTTGGCTTGAGCTTCCATAACAACTTTTGTGACGAATACTTCCATCCTTCAGAGTGCGAACTGGAATATTATTTTTATTTTGTATTGTATTGTATTGTATTTATTACGTAAAAAATACGTGGAAGAATAAAAAGAAAAAATAATGAAAAAGAGAATAAATAGACAAAAAGGGACATGGTGACATAAAATTGATATTTCTTAACCTAGACATGGATAATAGTGGATAATAACAAATCTTTTTCCGAACTTCTGACAGCAGCAGGCTTTTAGATCCGTTTTGTAGAGCTCATCATTTTACTAAGAACTTATTTTTTTACTAAGAAAATGTGCGAAGAAGTTTTGTTTAAGTTTAGACTTTGGAGTTTTCCATTGGTAGGTGTGGCGGCTGCGCGTTTTTGTCGATCTAATTTTGAAATATGATAAATGATTTATATTAATTTTACCTAGAATGAGTTTGTTGAAGAATTTCAGATCAAGCTTTACCCGTCTAGATTGTAGTGATTCTAGGCTGAATTCGGCCAATCTGTCTTGAGATGTTTTGTAATCCTTATCAATTCTCGTTAAGTTTCTACCCACTATTCTATTCATCAATTTTCTAGTGAAGGAGCTTTGCACTTTCTCTATATTGTCAATGAGCAGTTTTTTAGAAGGGCTGGCTACCACCGTTCCATATTCCAAATACGGTCTCACAAAAGTCTTTTATAGTAATGACATTATTTTAACGTTCTTACTATGATAAGTTTTAAAAATAGAGTAACTAGCTTATTTCGCCCTATTGATAGCTTTCTGCCAATGGTTCCAATTTTTTCCCAATTTCTGCCAATTTTGACATATTCATCGGAATCCTTTTGTCAATCCAAGTTTTCTTTGTTTATTTCCCGAAACATTTCAAGTTTGTCTTTTTTTCGGCTCTCTTCTAGAACCGGAGGCCCACGTAGGAAAATCAGAGGCCCATAAAAAATCAGTCTTCCGAAATATAGGCTTTTTGAGAATTTTCAAATTCTAAAGACTACATGAAAAAAGCATCAAATCTTCATACCGTATTTCCTCTAATGGCCCACCCAAACCGTAATTTTGGAGCTAAATTTAACTAATAAAATATTGGTGATATCTTTCTTATTAATAAAACGCTAGAGGCGTCTGTCCGTCCTCGTGTCCGTCTGTGGACTTTTGAAAAAATTGAAAAATACATATATATTTACGTGACCCTTTTATTTAGAAAAAGTGAGAAACGAAGCGACGAACATTTGAAAAAAAAATAGATTGAATCGCGCCGAAGGCTCACCAGCTTGCTGGTTATGACATAAAATTGTCAGCGGAATAATTTTTGATATCTTTCACAGGAATCGAGATAATTGAGCTTGAAGTTGACGGTTCGGGTGCGCGTCTATTAGCAGAAATACGGTAATGTATGTATCACACAATTTTCATTTTTTAGATCTTCGGTATCTCATAATAAAGATCTATGATTCTTTCATGAACCTTCGATTTTTCTCTAAGGCATTCCTCATTCCAATATTTCAGCTGACGTTTCTAGACAACATACGATGACTAATCACCCAACAATGACAGATTTCAGCTGTTCTTGCAAATTCTTCCAGTCAGTTAGATCTCGCTCAAACTTCCCCTCTTAATCTTCAGACCCTAGGATGACCTGATTTTTAATGAAGACGTCAAAAAACAAAGAGTTCGGAGAATCTTTAAAAATGATGCGTCCCCAAAATCACAGATTATCCCCTCCGATCCTTCCTTATCGTGTAGCTTTGTGTGTGTATGCGTGGGGGCTTCTACTATCAATTTCTTCTGTTTTTCTGGTGTGGATAAAACAAAAAAGAAATAATAAGAGAATAATATGATGTTAGGGGTCCCGCGGGAGCTCATTAGTCCCGTTTGTTTTTCATATTTTTTCAGGCCATGATATGGGGGAAGAATAGAATATATGTTGGCGAGAAAAAAGAGATAGACACTCTTCTAAAGGGGAAAATAAATATGGCTTCGTTTTACGTATCCAACACATTCGAAAAGCATATTCTCAGTACACACTTCTTACCTGCTCGCTGAAAGAGGAACGTTCGGAGAGACGGGGGCTGTCATCGAATAATTGTGATGGTGATGGGAGGACGAGGACGAATCGGCGACGCCGTGCGTGCTCGTACCGGCAACGTCTAGCGTGTCATGCGAATCGTTGAAATCCGACGAATCACGCGAATCACGAAGACGGCCCTGAAAATGGATTGGGTTATTTAACTGTGTATGTGCTTGTGATTTGGATTGGAAGTGCATGGGACAAGGGACCAAGATGGGGGGATCATTTGGCTAGAAGATCATCTATAAGCTTCAGAGATCTCTGACAAAAGTTATATTTCAACCGGTTGTTTTCAAGACCTAGAGTTCCAATGACGTGAGTTGATTAGGAGGGGAAATCTCTGGAGGAACCTGATTATGCAGTACAAAGTGAAAACTGCACTTCAAATCTGATCTGTGAAAAATGCATTACAAGAATCAAAGGTTTTCATAATCTCAAAAACCGTGGGCGAGGGGAATGCCGGAACGGACAAAAAAATGATTAAAAAATGGAGCTGACATTTAATATCGTATAGGCCATTAACATTTTTGGGTTTTAATTGGAATGTATTCAGAAATCGCGGGGGCAGATCCACGCAATACGTAATAGGATTAGAGCTACCATAGAGCTGTCAGAACGGCTGCGGAAAATATCGGAACTCCCGGAATTGGAAAGATTACTGTAAAGGGAATGTTTCGGTTACTAGATGACATGTCACATGACTTTCACAAAAACACAGTATTCGAAAGAGCAGGTGGGGAAACGTAATTTTCTCGAAATTTCTAACCCTAGACCCTAGAACCCTAACCCTAGAGGGGAATAGACGCCCCTCGAGGAGTTGAACCTGTGGACCAAACACTGGAGGTGCCGCGCCTCTACCGGCAGAGCTACGCTGGCGCCAGCTGTGAGGCGGCCAAAGGACGTGGCAGATAAAAGCGGTATGATAGCAGCCAGTAAGTGAAATTCTGTCAGAAAAAATTGAGAACTATTCACAGGAATGAATTTTCACTGATGTTCAGATTTCCTTAAAAATGCGAATCCTTCATGGAACTTCTAATAAAGTTTCACATAAAAATGTTAAGCTTTTGAGAAAATTGCAATATGAGAGCTACCATTCGAAGATAAGCCCTGATTCCTCATAAACAGTTTTCATAGTTTCCTGGAAGCCTTCTTGGCTTATTCGAGAATATACTTGATCACACAAATCTCCTGATAACAAGAACTGTATTTTATAGAAACCCAGAGATCTACATGGGAGTCCCTACAGTACCTTACCTTCTTTTTTCGGAATATGAACATCTTCATGTGTTGAATATTGAAAGCTTTAAAGACAGAGACTCTCGCTTAGAGTCTCTTGCTTTTCTAATCAAAAACACAGTTAATTAGACTAGTCGAATCGTGAACAAAGCAGCTGTCTCTCTCTCCAGTGATATCACTTGAGAATATAAAAAGTGGGTGGAGTCAGTCTCTACTTTTTCAGGCTTCAATGTGTGTGATACGACACAGAAGGAGAAGCTAGAAGACGATGGATAAGAAGAAGGAGCACACACAGCGAAATAGGCCACGCCCTCCTCATCTATATATAAAGGATTAGACTATTCCTTCTTTATTTCGTCTTCTCGAGATAAATGATGATGAAAAATGGAAGAAAGATGAGAAAATGATGAGCCTTCAGGCCCCCGCAACTAGGGGGAAAAGTTCGAGCAAAAGAGAAGAGTAAATTTTAATTGAGTTTTTAATAAAATAATGAGGTAACCGACGATAAACCTTCCTATTAGCTCAGGGGTAGAAAAAAGAGAATATTTCCTAAAGAAGTTTCAGGGGATCCCGCTAGAGTTTAGGAAGATGTAGGTTACGGTTTTTGAATTATCCCAACTAGTTCTTGTCACGGTCCGGGTCTGTTCAGAATCTGAATTTTTTAAAATTCCGAAAATTTTTGGAATTTTTCGAAAATTTTATGAAATGTCCGAAAAATTTCGATACTTTTGTATGGGCAGAGTATTTCAGGAAATTTTCTTTGAAGTGGAATTCAATAATTTTTTTTCAAGAATTTTCAGAAAAATCAGCTTCTCGGACTGGCTTGGAATTTGGCAAGCATTTCAAAAATCGATTTTACCTAGGATCTAAAACGCCTAAACAAAGATGACTATCCCCTCGAACTGTACCTTTTTCATAAAACGAATATTGAGCATTTTCAGATGAAGGGAAAGAAGAAATAAAATGAATTCTTCTTCATTTCAGGCAGATAGAGATTGTATTCGAAATGATAGGATCCGCCCCCTTTTTCTCTTCGAATCCTAGATTTTTTTTGTGTTTCAAAATACATTTCGTAGGCGTGCGTACGGGTGTACAACTACAATAAAATTGAGATTGAGAAAGAGAGCTATAGCCTATGGTCAGATGATTCTTTAAAAAATCAGAAAGAGAAGAGCTCTCAAAAAAAGTGGAAAAACGAATTATTGATTACTTGTATTTGAAGATTTTTAACAGATTGTTTGGAAAACTTGAATCGCTCGAGAATTGTTTTTCAAACTTGAAATTGATAAGGCTTTCATTTTTAATCTACGCAATAATCCCAGATTCTGCTAACAATAAGCACAGTACCTCCAACAAACTAAGATTCTCAGAAATTAAAAAAAAAAACTGCTAAAAGTGCGAGTCATGTTCTAGACAATTATTTTTTCTTTCCAGTCTATATTCCAAAAAAGAAGAAACCTAACAAGATGATGAGCAAGAACAAACCCTCCAAAGATGAAAAGATCTATAGATATTGAGTCAGGTTTTCTTATTCGGGTATTCCCATCAGAGTCACAAACCACATCTTCCGATAGTTTCGGAGCAAAAAAAAATGAAAAGGGAGGCATGGGGGACGGTGGGAAAATGACAATCATTGTCCTCTACTCCAGATGGCAAAAAAAAGAAAAAGAAGAAGAAGGAAATTCACGATTATGAAGAAGAAAAAGGAGAGAGATGGAGGCAATCTACGGAATCATGACCAATTTTGAGCCCCCATATTTTGGTATGAGATGTTGTGTTTTGTGGAAAAAAAGTGAAAAAAGTAGGGAGGGAGAAAACAGAAAGTAAAGGAAAAAAGGAAATGGCAATCAAGAATTGGCAATTGGTGGGAGTGAAGGACAAAGTGGTGATCTGCAGTAGCAGTGATGATGGATGATCGGAAATCGTGGTGGTCCTACTCTTATTGAATTTTGACATGACTGATATTTATGGATTCGAATATGGATCAAGTGCATGATGTTTCCCACGGAAAAGCATAAGACCTGATATTTTGGAATATCATATAAGAATATCAGGTCGGAGACCAAAGAAAAGTTGATATATAAGTGGCAAGTCAGAAATGGACGGGTTTTAATTGTCGGTCTATCAGTAACTCATTTTTCAAAATGATTTTCTACTGATGGTTTATAGGTTTTTTTTTTAAATCATAGATTCTAGATTCTTCAAATTTGAGAAGTACGAAATTCAGACACTCCGAAATTTAGAAATTCAAAAAATCGAAAATTCGGACATAAAAGTGTCGTCTAAAAACTCGTCTAAAAACTAGTCTAAAAACTAAGCCTAAAAACTCCAAAAAACTGAAAATTTAAGATTTCGTTTAAAAGATTCTGGAGCATTCTAGAACATTTTGAAGCATTCTGGAGAATTTAAGAGCATTCGGGAATCTTCACGATAACAAAATTTAGGTATCCATTGGTTTGCTACATACATAATTTCACAATAAAATAGTTTTTAATGCAATCAATAAATAAAGTTCATTTTCTGAGTTTAGAAAACTATTCCTTTGTAAAACCGGCTTCCACAAAAGTACAGTATGCCTCATTTTTTGGAAGTCTTCTCCAAATCTGCGACTTCACACATCCTCAAAGTTTAATCTCTCTGGAAATCGTCGCGAATCTGGGTACAAAACTATCACCAATTTGCACATTAACACAAATGCTTTTTCTAAGGTTTCACCCAGATCGAAAGTCATCTCCGTTTTCCTTCTCTTCCTTTTTTTGAACTAATTTCTTATGCTTCATAAAAAATTCCACTCAAATATCTTGCCCAAAAACGGCTTTGAAGAAAGAAACCTCAAAAAAGGAGAAAACGAAAAAATTATGAAGCAACTATGTCAGAAAAAAGGTGAAACACTAAAAATGTCAATAAAAAAGAGGAAAAAAGGAGGAATAGAAAAAGGGAAAACGAGGAGGACGAAATGTAAGATTTTGATTTGAATGCAACGCAAATGTAAATGAGAAAACAAGTGTAGCTGTTGGTACAAGATGGAGAGAGCACACCGAACAACGTGAGAATTTATAGGTGCAGTTGGAGAAAAAAATGGTGGGTTGAAGAGAGACATCAATTTTAATGACGTTGGAAACGAAACGTTTGATTTTCAGAGATGTTTCGTACGAATGGTACCACGGATACTTTGCGTCATCATGGGGAAATTTCGTACAGCGACAAACAATTTGAAAAACAAACAGCAATCGAAATTCGGGGTTTAGAGATTTCGAAATTGTAAAGGGAACGATTGGGAAAACATATGTCATTGTTTTTCAGAACTACAGTACTCTTGTGGTGATTGACAAGTCATATGACTCAGCATTCCTCATATTTTCAATCAAATGAAAATTGACCAAACAATTCTTCCCTTGATGCAAAATTTCGTGTTCGTGTCGATTTACGAGGCCCCTCCCCCAAATCGAATACTGTGTCATACGAAACTAATTTCTCTGAATTTAGTGGGATTTCTTTAGATTATTTGGTAAGAATATGATCGCTGGCATTTATAGAATCTGATTTTCGCCAAAAACCGCGACCTTAATCGCGAAAATTTGAAATATTACGAACTTGGCGCGCCTCCACAATAAAAAAATCAGAAAAAAACCTGGAGACGTCACAAAATCGAAATTTGAACAACGCGAAAAAGGTAAAAGCCAAAAGAAAGAGAAAACGCAGAAGGCGATGAAGAGGAGAGTGTCAAGTTGACCATAAACCTATGCAACAGGAAGCCGAATGGGGCACAGTGACTAGGATGCTTCCGGAGGACACTCTGCCTTCTGAATCGACGACGTCTTCAAGCCCCGAGAGAGCACACACATACACGCGTATCGGGTTACCTTCTGGCTCCCGGAGCCGACAACCACATTAGGTGATGTGCTGCTCCCTGGGTGGGGAGGAAGGAAGGGGGAGAGCTTCTACTTGAATTGGTTGGAAGAGCAGATGGCATCCGAGAAAACAAGTCATCAGAAGGCTTTTATATCGAAAAAAAAGTGAAAGGGACAAAAATTGGAAGATATGTATCGGTAATGAGGATGATGATGATGATGATGATACACTCGTTTTTATTAGAGAAGATGGGAGAAAAGAGATCTTTCTCTTCTTCTGGAGCCGTCGAAAAAATGTTTTTCTCTCATTTTCTTTTTACCGGGCGGGCCTTCTTCTTCTTTTTTTCACCCTCTATCTCTCTCCTTCAACTTCTTCAGTTAGCCTCTTCCTCTTCTCATTCAAAATGGGATTTGAAAATGAGCAAATTGAGCTGGAGCTCCTCCCCCTTCAGTAGCTCACCGGTCCTTCTATCAATCACGGAAAGAGAGAGAGAGAGAGAGAGAGAGAGAGAGAGAGAGAAAATTCGAAAAAATACTCTTATTTGTCTGAGAGAGGAAAGATGGAACCCGTCTCTCACTCGTTTTTTCTCATATATTCTCTTTTTTCTTCCAAAGCCCTCTCTCCCTTATTTTGCATTTTGACCTGGATTCAAAATGATTCATCGATGACCTAAATGGCGTCATGTGTAAGTCAAATGATCTGAAATCATCATTTTGTATCCTATACGAGGAGTCATCCAGAAAACGAAACAACAAAAAATATTCGAAATCAATGTCACAAATTTAATTGAAGTGATAGAAAAATAGATGACATTCTGAATAAGCAGCACGTTTTTTCTGGATCACAGGGAGAATGAAAAAGATATCACCGATTTGCGTTTTGTGTTTGTTTTCGAATGTTCTATCAAATGACACATCACATACAATTATATAAATCGAAAAGCTGAAATGAGAAATTTTCAGCCAACTCATATATAGTTTCGCAAAAATTACCGTAGAACCTATGATAGAAGGGACCCCTAACTTTTACTTGGAGCCAATTTCTATCAGTTCATGTGAAAGATATCAAAAAGTTATAAACTGATAAACTGCTTATCATGATATCACAATCATTTTATCAGTTGACAAAATTTTGATATCTTGCATGGGAGTCATGAAAAAATGCCTCGTTAAAAATTAGGGTTCTTTGGTATATTTCAGGTTTTATGGTATTATTGGAAACGGTCAGATTTTAATCTTGTCAGAAATTTTTGAAAGAGCTTTAGAAACTCAATTTTGACATTATAATTCGTTCAGCAACTCATTTTCCTGGTTTCTGAGTATGCTGGATGATTGCTGGTAGAAAACGTCAGATTTGAAAATTTCGAATAATTGACCATACCATGTAATAAAAGGCTCGCCACTGTCAACTTTGATTTAATTTTTCTTGGCTCCTATGTACGATATCAACATATATCATGTCAACTGATAAAAGTTGTGTGGTATTTTGATAATCAATTTGTTAGTTGACAACTGTTTCGTATCTTTAGCAGGAATCGGAAAAATTGGCTCGAAGTTAAAAGTTAGGGGATACTTGTATTACAAGAACTACGGTATCTCGAGTGAAAAGATTCTCCGGCGGAATCATTTCTCCAGATGAAAAGCTTACTTCATTAATCAACCTGGACCAAATCGTTGTAATTTTTTCCATTTTCTACTGATTCACCTAGCAACAATACTTCATCTAGAACACTCAAAATCAATACAATGTTCTAAAGTTCAGCTTGACTTTAACAGCTGAGGAACAGATGTCCCAAAACGTTTTCAGCAGCTGCCACAGTCCAAAATTGTAAAATTGATAACAATTCTAGAATGATGGATCAGAAGAAGATATGCAGGAGGATGAGAAAATTAATATTAGAAGAAGAAAAAGAACGAAGACCAACTTCGAAGGTTTATCGAGTGTTTCCCCCTGTGCTTCAAATGATTTTGGAACAAAAGAAGAGGTCGTTGAGCGCTCTCTTGAGAAAAAGAAGAAGAGATAGGGGGAAAGATGACGTGAGCTTTCAAGGATTCAGATGAGAAAAAACTTCTGAGAAGACGACGAAGAAGAAGAAAAGAGGAATCTCTTACTTCCAAAAAAAACTCTGAAGAAACGATCCAGCGAAAGAAAGGACAAGATAAAGGAATCAATTTGTGCGTAAGTTTGGGTCCCCATCTTCATTTGGGCGCAGTAGGAGAAGAAGAAGAAGAAAGAAGAAGAAGAATAAGAAGAAGAAGAAGTAGGGACCAAAAATAGATACAGATAGATATGTATGTGTTGTGTTGTTCACTAATCTAATCTGTGCTATCCGCTCGTCCGTCCGTCCCAACACAACAGGACGCCAGAAGGAAGAAGAAAAAATGGTTGGAAGAAGAAGAAAATGAAGAAGAGGATGAGTAAACATTAGAAAAAGAATACGAACATAAGAAGGTATGATCCAATTTGTTTTTCGTTTTTTTCCGATAACTTTTTTTGAGTGATTTATGAAGTGAATGAGTTTTCGAAACCACTGAGATGATTTGGTAGATAGCTGGAACGGTTGTTTTCAAAGATCGAGATAATTAGAAGAAATCTGTAAAATGGGAGGATCTTAGAAAGTGTTCAAGGGAATCAGAACGCGAATACGACCAAGAGCAATAATTAAGACCAGCCAAAGATCAAGATTCTACTATTAGATTTGAAACTAATCATAAGTTTTCTGATTGACTTTAATTTAATAACGAATTTCTATTGTATCAAAAAAAAACCTATATTCTCGCCTGTTGTAATATGAATGAAATACAGAGTAGATTGGGAAATTTTGAATTCAGATGAACATTTTGAACCGATTGAAACAGAATCTGTAACTGAGGGCAAAACGCGGCCGCGGCCGGCCGTTTGTAGGTTGCCGTGGGCTATAGATTATAATCAGAATCAGTCCATTCACAGCGACCCAGAAACTACTAGGGCCGCCGTACCATACCTATGCTATTTAAGAAGTATACTTTTTAAAAATTCTGCGTCTGGACATGGTTCAGCTTCGGCTGTTTCATAAATTAAAATATAAACTGGCCAATATTTGAAAACTTGACTACACAACTGTATGAAAAAACGGAGCTCGAAAAATACAAAACAGAGTGTTGAACACACCTGAGTATCAGAATCGGTCCATCTTCTCTGTGTACTTCTTCTGATCTGCAAAAAATCATCACGAGCTCCTCCTCCACCTGATTCTCCCATCGGATTCTCATCAACATCTAATTGCAATGGCATCGCGGAACTATCAATCGATGGATGTCGTAGAGTGAGACGAGGTAGTTGTCTGCAAAAAAGGAAAACAAGGTCATCTGGTTTTTTCTCCGAGCCTGGAAATGCTCCATTTTGGCTATTTCTTTTGTGTGCGTGTAAGCAATCCAGTTTCTGACTAAAAAAGAAGGGTTCCATTATTGTTACGTGGTGACATGAACATTTCTGGAAGAGGAGAATAGAAGGGGAGGAAGAGGGAAGAACAATACCAAATTTCAGGCTCAAAAACAAAAAAAAAGAACACGCAATGAACTGAATAAAGAGATAGAGTGGAAAAGAGGAGGAAAAGAGAGATGAAGAGGAGTAAAGTTTTTAGGAGAAGATGTTGAGTTGGGGGTGGATCGGAATATACACACATCTGATGAATTATTCGGAACGAGAAGGTGTCTGGTATCTGGGGCCGGACTCAGACAGAAAAACACGTGTCAATATTTTTGCAGCGAAAGTACAGATTCAGATAGATTTATTGACTGGTTTTCAGAATACGAAATTCTAGAAGTACCTGTTACTTTTGAGTCTAATGTTTTTGAGTTCGCACTTGATTCTTCCATCTTATTTCTGAATTTTACATGAATTCTACGACATCCATTCCTTCCGGAATGGTTAAAAATGCACACAGCGCTCCAACTGATATAATTTGTTGGCTTTGGGAATCAGGTTTTGAAATAATTCAAACAATTACTTTCGAATTTTGAGGAAATGCTGCAATAAGTTTTAGAATAAAGCTAAAAATGTGAATTGCTGTTAATTAAAAAAAAAACAAAACTACCGCAAAACCTGTATTAGAATGGTGGGCCCTTTCTAGTGTTCCAAGGTACCTCCGGTGGTGGGCTCTTTCATTAGGGGGACCCTTCAATTAGAGGGGGCTCTTCTATTTTTCCGGTCTCCTAAAATTTCTCAACAAAAAGTTAAGTGAATTCTCGTTCAAAATTAATCTATTAAATTGACTAAACTGAGCAAGTTTTTGGTTTCGAACAATACATTTTGAAGGGAGCCCTCTTATTTTTCCAAGCCTCTCGCAGGGCCCTTCTATTAGAAGGGCTCTTCTAATACAAGTTTTCCGGCGGTTTGTAAAAAAGTGCTTTGGTTTTAGAAAAAATAAAACGAATCGGTAGTTTTCGAACTTTTTTTATTATTTCGAATCTCCAAAATCCTAATTTTTTCAAATTTAACAGCTTGAAGCTGGTGCCGATTTATTTACCCTCCCTCGTGCTTTTTTCATTTCGTTTTGAATTTCGGAGATTTTAGAAAACAACAAGGAACCAAAGTATTGAATTTTTTTGTTTTGAATTTTTACAAATGGAAAGATTTAGCTAATAAAGAATTAACGAAATAAATTGTAATCTAGATATTGAATCTTTGAAAATAAGAATGACGACTTCCGAATTTCCAAAAACCCAAGAAGACTTCTGGAAATCGAATATTTGTGGAGTTTCGAGTTCAAGAGGATTGCTCTTTTCATCTTTTTAAAATTTGAATCCATTTTTTTTCGATTTAAAATTTGAACCGAAAAAAAGGAGCTCTATAGAGCTAGTAGGAGAAAAATCTAAAGAAAGAATCTGAGATGTAAGGAAAGAAAATGAAAACAGAAGTGGGAAAACAAGTGGAGATGAAGAAGGAGAAGAGAATGAAGACATTTTTGGAGGAGAAAAAAAGAAGAATTTGTAGTTGAATATAGGTGCGTCATAATATCAAATCAATTCTCAATCTAATCGAATCCACATTTTCGTCAAAATAACACAACTCACAATTGGTTTTTGTTCTTCATACTGCTTCGTTGGGAACCGAAAAATGTCCGATGCTTGAACAGACGCCATTGACTTTTTCGAATCGATCTGAAAGTCGATCTCATCTTGACCCCCAATTCAAAACGAATGTTTTAGATTACCTGCTAGCAAATCCAGCTAGTTTTCTCGTTGTTGACATTTGAGGAGATTTCTCTCTTCCAGGATTCGGAGATCCAGGCCTACTTGTGACAGGTGATCGTCCCGTTTCGTCGTCTTTTCCAGAATCTACAGAGTCTGAAACTGGCGAAGTTGATGACTGATGATGAGATTGTTTTTTTTTTATTACTCAACAATTAGAATTTTTAGTCAAATGGGAATATTGGGTCATGACCTAGGAAAAATTGGGTCGCGGCCTGAAAAATCTAGGTCGTGATCTAAAAAATCTAGGTCGTGACCTGAAAAAAATCTAGTTCGTGACCTAAAAAAAATCTTGGTCATGACCTGAAAAAACCTAGGGCGTGACCTAAAAAAATATAGGTCGTGACCTGAAAAATCTAGGTCGTGACCTGAAAAAATCTATATAATCATAAAACAAAAAAAGCCTGTATTGTTCCGGAACTAAATAAAAATGTAATCTCTATCTAAGTAGCTATGATTTGAAACATATGACATTGGTTATTTACTGTGTACCGTAAAATCTGCAATAGAAGGGCCGTAACACTGTCAGATTTGAGCTCAATTATCTCAATTTCTATACAAGATATCAAAAAAGGGTCCACTGGAAAACACGTCTGATATTATGATAAACAATTTATCAGTTGACAACTTTTATATAATAGGTTGGTAAAAAAGTAATGCGCGTTTGGTCAGAACTACTACGAACCACAGCTAGTGTAGTTCTACAACAGATGCATCCAATCTTTGCTCATACATTGGCAGAAAAGGGTCGATAATAATAAAAAATACCCCATCGATTGATATACTTTCGTTTTGGTTTTGCATAAATTTTAACTACATCAAAAACGCGCATTACTTTTTTACCAACCTAATATCTTCGACAGGAACCGAGAAAATTTGGCTCAAAAATAGTTGTCAAGGGAAGATTCTATTACAGGTTTTACGGTGTCCTATTTTTCAAACTAAACTCTCAAAAACGCTATAAGTTGATACGTACCTCTCTTCGCACTGCTACCTTTTCTGAAAAGGAGTCGCCCAATTGAGAAAGAAGACGACGGTTTGTGCTCCGGCACCACCACCACATCCGAATCACTTCTCGTCGACGATGCCACCGACGTCTTCGACCGTGGAGAGGATATGTTGCCGGTGGCCGTCGACGTCGATACTCCACATGCTGATAGTGAAGACGGTGACGGTGTTCGAGAAGCCGTCGACATTACTTCTGAAAGTTTATTTGATAGGACAATTGAGAAAATGAAAAGAAAAAGGGAATTGAGGTCAAGAAGGGGGTGAAAACACGAAACAAGAAAGGGGCGTGACATGAATTTTAATATTCTCTCTCTCTCTCTCTTTTTTCGTTTCGTTTTCCCTTTCTTTTTTCTTCCTCTAGATGCTCTCAAAATCAATTACGAGTCGGGTCGTTTCGCGCCGTTTTTCCGTGTCATTTCTTTTTTTTTGTCCCGTTGACTACCAGTCAATTTCAAGAAAGAAAGGAAGTAGTCGATAACTCAATTAAGTTTCTACGAAATAAAAAGAGAGATGAGCTTTTTAATTGTTCCGAATGACGATGATGATAATGAGTCAAACAGTAAATGGGACTTAAAGAAGAAGAAGGCGTCAAAATATGGAGAGGGAGGAAGAAGGATTCGTTTGGGAACCGTATGAATTATTTATTGAGTTCTGAAGTAAATGGGACGGAGAAGACAGAACTTTGCTTCGTCCAAAACGAACGTTACTAGGATTTTGGACGAAAAGATTTGAAAATTTTGGATTTTCAGCAAAAATAGTCAATATTTCAGAGACAATCAATTGGAAGTGTTCCTATGGAAGTTTCAGAAATCCCACAAATCCAAAAAAAAACTATTATAAATACGAAAAATCCTGAAAAATGCTAAAAATCTCAACATTTTCTGAAAATCCAAAAATTCCCAAAGGACCCAAAAATCTCGAAATTCCTGAAAGTTTTAAAAAATCCTAAAATTCAAAACCTCAACAGATACCAATAATTCTTGAATTCTTAAAAACACTGAAAATCCTTCGGAAATTTAAAAAATCCCGAAAATCCTAATTAAAACTCCAAAAACTCCAAAAATTCAAAAACTTCCTAAACTTTTTCCTAAACTCAAAAATTTCCTAAACTCCAAAAATTCTAAAAATTGTAAAAAATGCTAAATATTTGATATGTTCGGGTAAAATGATCAAATGACTAACGGTAAGAAACAGAAGTTAATCAGAATTGGATGTTCGAAAAGTGTCTAGACTCCCAAATCAATCAACTTCTAGACTCTGAACCCCCAGCTTCTTGTATACGACTTCACCCAAGAGAATTATAATTTCCCAAGAATCTGACCCCATCTTCTCAGAACCTTGATGCTCAGCTGACCCAATTGCCAGATCAAATCATCAAATATACCCATCTCCGTAGAGTCCAAAACATTTCCTGTATCTAAAAACGTCCATATAAATATTATATTTAGATGCAATAGTAATTATGATAGATTTTGCCGAAAAAAAAGAGAGCTCAATTATTCTCATCACGCAATATAGTTATAGTCGATCTTCTAACTCTTCCCCTACTTGTCTTTTTTTTTCAATTGTGTCTATGAAAGTATAAAATACATAAGATATTGATGAGAAAATAACTCGTTGTGACAGGGGTGGAAGGGGCGGAGCTTATTAAAATAAGAAGAAGAATAAGAAGGAGAAGAATGACTGTTCACCAATGTAACTTCTATATTTTATTAGGAATAAAGTTGAGGGATGAATTGCTGAAAATGAGTGGAAAGAGAATATCCATAAAACGGTGGAGAGATGAATCAATTAAAATTCGAAGAAGAGCAAGTAAACAATTGAAGAACAAAAATTGTTGGAGTGGTTAAAGTCATTCGTCATAGTTAAGTTTTCACATCTATCGTTTATTATGACTTTGATATTTAGAAGACGTCCGTCAAGAAAGAGAACTCGTCAAATTGACGTCACAGAAGAAGAGCGGGAGGAGAAAAGAAGGAGGAGACTGATGAATTTTTGCAGAGTTGGAAGTTCCAGGAAGTTATGAACATCGTGTTCTGAGCTACTATATTCTTCTGGAAGATCCTTGTTTTTTTCTCAAAGCGATTTAAATTGTTCTTCTTTAACTAAATTTACTTATTGAGTTCGATATTGAAAGATGGTGTTCATGTTTTACAAAAAGTATGTAGATTCGCATAAAAATTAAGAAAACGTGCAAAGAAATCCTAAAATGAGCAAGTCGTGGCTGAGTTTTCTAGTCCCTGGCCAGCGGAAAAAACCCTTGAAAAGTTCGAATAGGAAATTTTCGCGCGCTGCTCGCGGACTAGAAAACTCAAACTCGGCTACCAGCCACCACATACTACTTCGCCTTTTCGAGCTTGAAAATCTAGATACTTTTTTTGTGCAAAATGAAGCAATAAAAAGTTCACCGCACACTACCTAAAGGATGGTAACGCAGGAATACCAGGCATCTAATAATAGGCAAACATATTGCGGGCCGGTGGAGGAATTTTCACTGGCCTGGCCCGGCCCTGACCCGGTATGGCCCTGGCCCAACCCCATTTTATCAACATTTCTTTGTTTTCAGCTTTCAGCAGGGTCTTGGGCTAAATTTCGTAATTTAAAATGATCATTTTGACAAAAATGTATCAAAAATCAACAGTAAAATTCTGAATTATTTAGAACCCGGGCGGGAAAATTTTTCTCTAGCCAAGCCAGAGGTAATCCGGGCCGGGCCGGGTATCTAGCAAGTATGATAATAGGTTTTGAAACGTCTTAAACGAGTCAAATCCCCCGTTCAAAAAAAATGTAGAAAATGAGAAGATGTTCCTTTTCGTAAAATGGTTTACTTCTTCTTCTTCTTCTTCTCTGAATCCCTGCTCCTTTTTCTTCCTCGTTTCCATTTCGTTCCTAGTAACCAGTCTCAAAATAAAACCGGGGTTTAATGCGAGGGTGTAAGTGGGTTTGGAACCAGAAAAGAAGAGAAGAACGCACGTTTTCTTCCTCTTTTTTTCTTCCAATAAGAAATACAAAACGTTTCATTCGCAGAAGATTATAGAAAGAAGGGGGCGGAGTCTGGAGATAAGGTGGAAATGGTATGTTTGCGTCAGTTCTAGGGAATTCACCTGCTTAGAAGGTGAAATTTAACATTTTCCAGAGTCGAATAGAAAGAGGGGCAGATATAAAATAGGAGGAGAAAAAAGAAGAACGAAAATGGAAATAATTGAAAAGTGTAATGCTCTACGGATTCCGACATATCTAAGGAAACATCTGAAGGGGAATTTTTGTTGCGAATTGAATTAATAGGAAAAGAAAAAGAAGAGAACGAATGCCGAGAATAACGAATCTATGATTCTGGATGCCAATGTAGGCGGGAGAAGTAAATGACAGGGTTTTGCTTTTTTAAACTACCGTAGGTGGATTGGGTTGTTTTCTAAAAGTGAGCAACCGATCATTATGTGGGTTTTCCATGACGGAAAACTCGGATTTAAAAAAGGTGTCATCGTTGATCTTGGAAAAAAGAGAGTTGATGACGATTTAACGAACACTTTTCGGACTGCATTAGAAGTTTTGAAGGGTTTCAATTCAACATTTAGAAGCCTTTTAGTTTTTAATCTAGTTAACATTTTCAAAACGCCTAGTTTCCTATTATTAGAGTTTAAAAATGTCAGAGGTTTTTGAGGAAACTCTTGAATAAGAAGGAAAATTATTTGTCATCAATCAAAGCGACGTCACAAAAATGAAGAATTAGAATTGAGATGGAAAATTATGGTTTCGCAAAGTTTGGAAGTGATTTTTTGATTTTTAGGTGATATACACTGAATCACATGAGTCAACAAGAGTTGAATTTTGGAATTTGATAGAATCCGTGGGAAGTTGCTGGAATACCGTAAAACCTGTAATAGAAGAGCCCCCCGCCCAACTTCTAACTTTGAGCCAATTTATCTCGGTTCCTGTCAAAGATATCAAAAAAGTTGTCCGCTGATAAATAGTTTATCATAATATCAAAAATAGTTTGTCAGCTGGCTTATTTTTGATATCTTGCATAGGAGCTGAGAAAAATTAGCTCAAGCTTGGCAGTGTGGAGACCCTTCTATTACAGGTTTTTTTACAGGTGTTTGGGTTAAAAAATTGGAAAATGCTTCAATTTGGTCGTTTTTCCATAATTTTCGCAACAGTGTACTATTAAGTTCTCAGTTTTAGAGTCGTAAATTCCAAGCTGCAAGTTTCTAGAACGTGAATTGGGGAAGATATTAGATTTGATATTATATCTACAGTTTCAAATATAGTTTCTGCTTTGAATTCAAAGGTGGATATTTTTTCAGCTTCGTATCTGATAGGTTCACTTTCTCACACTTTTTGTTGAAATTTCAACAGCAATCACATACCGTAAACATTCTAATAGAATGCCCCCCCCCCCCCCCCCCCCAACCGCATACTTCGAGCCAATTTATCTCTGTTCTCGTCAAAGATATAAGACGATTGAAATTTGAAGAATTTTTTTCGCATGTATAGAAACAGCTCGAATTGATGATTTCATGTACCATGTAGCCTTTATTTCAGTTTCACCAGATATCCGAATTTTCTGTACAAAAATTATGAATATTCCAGAAATTAGTCAAAGTTATAGAAAATGTTTGTTTGATGAATCTGAAAATGATCTTGAACGAAAAAATAGGTGGACAAATTGAAATTGGACCGTGTAGTAGTAGTTTTCTCAAATCCAGGTGACAGCCAATCTTCCTGCACTTTAAACTCCTTGTTGCTCTGTGTCTTCTTTTCTTCTACAGGTACAGAATCGGTTTGTCTCCCGATTTTGTACTTTTTTAATGGAAAAAGTGGTCACGCCAAATTCAAGTATTATTTGAATTGTGCCACGAGGTACAAAATCGGTAGGCAAACCGAATCTGTACCTAGTGAAACAATTCAAATACTTCTCTGATTTCACGTGTCTTTTTGTGGATTTTGAAACATTTCTCATGAAATCCGATTTTGAACCAATTTTTTGATCGACACTAACTTTCTACAATACTCTTATTTGGGTGAGAGTGATATCTGAAATTTTGGATATTTTGAAGCTAATCCGACGTTAACAGTAAGTATATACCCGACCCGAATTCTTTCTCATTTTTTGATGGTACGTATTGTTAACATCGGATTGACTGTTGGATAGCGGATTGGCCTCACCCAACTAAGCGTATTGTGGAAA